CTGTATTTACTGGATTAGCCTATTCTCGTGCTGCTATGAAGAAATACCTAGAACTGGGTAATTTATAAAGAAAAGAGGTTTAATTGCCTCACAGTTCCACATGGCTGGAGAGACCTCAGGAAACATACAATCATGGTGGAAGGCACCTCTTCACAGGGTGGTAGGAAAGAGAATGAGTGCAAGCAGGGGAAACGCCAGACACTTATAAACCCATCAACTCTCATAAGACTCACTCACTATCACAGAACAGCATGGAGGAAACTGCTGCCATGATCCAATTACCTCCACCTGGTCCTGCCCTTGACACATGGGGATTATGGGGACTACAATTCAAGGTGAGATTTGGATGGGGACACAGAGTCAAAACATATCACTGCCTGTCCTCTTTCTTATCAGGAGTTTTTATGCATTGAAAGAATTTCCTTGGGTAAATTCTGAGTTTTCTGGATAGAATATGGTGAACATGGCCCTTTGGATCCTATGATTCATAGCAATATAAGAAGCCGGAATCCTTTCTAGAGTACTTTTTCTTAGGAAAGCCTTAGGACTTTCTGAACACTTTCAAACATATCTTAAAACAATGTATTTACATTTTAAAAAACCCACAAAGTTACAGAAATACAAAAATACACACCTACTATTTTTTTCTCATCTCTGTATCCCAATTATTATGAGTACTAGCCTCTATCAGCTCAAAAACTGGCCAAAAAAAGGATGAAAGTTTGAAAATCCAGGAAGTTAAAATGTACCCAGGACACTGCTGTGAGATTCCAGTGCAGTGATGTCCTGGTAGGAACAGAACAAGTCACCTTTCAGGCAGGTGCCCTTTACTCTCACATGTTGACAATGGCTCATTCTCTGTTTGCATCCATTTCTGCTTTGCAGCCTCAATCCAGGCAGGGACAAGGGACATGTGGCCCTGGGTGTCATTTGATGTGTGGTGTGTGTGTACTTCCTTCTCTTGATTTGGCTCTGTTCAATGTGAACTAAAGTGCCCTACTGTTCACATCAGGGTAGGAATCCTATTGGCTCTCAGAACCTTCTAGAGTAGCCACTATATGACTTCAATAAAAAAGCATTTGACTTTAACTAATTATAGCCCTGCTCCAGGCTAATTTGTGACCCACATCTCATAGTAAACATTTCTCTCACTCTAACCTTGAAAGGCGACTAAACTGGGACAGTTTTACCCACAGAGTTTAATCAGGTCTCTATTCTAAAGACAAAGTGTTAAGAAACCTGGATAAATTTCATATACATGTGTTTGTAAATTTTCTTCTTCCTAAAATATTTGTCTTTAAAGATAGACTGAAATTTGACCAGATTCTAATTGGATTTACACTCCCTACTTCCCTTGAGAAACACTTTTCTACATAGTAATGGGTTGAACTATTTCCCATTCAAGTATTCATTTATCCACTCTGCATGCAGCAAGTATTTCATGAGTGCTTGTTATGTCCCAGGCACAGAATATACAGATGCAAAAATACAGATAGGGTCTCTGTTGTCATAGGAAGGGAAAAACATACTAAATAATTAGAGACAAAATTAATAGTTCAGTTCTAATTTTGGAAAAATCAATGAGAGGCACAATGAGAGTGTCTGTGCATGGAATCTGCTTATCTGAGAGCTCTTGGAGGGCTTCCCTGAGAAAATGAAGCTGAGGCTAAGATTTTAAGGATGACTAAGTACTGACTATGCAAACTGGGGTAGTAGAAGAAGGAACACTCAGGCCAAGAGGAAATAATATGAAAAGGATGAGATGAAAAGAAGCAAAGAAAATTCAAAGAACCTTCATAAGGAAGATGGGTGAGACATATTATCGCCATGTTATGGATCCATTTGTTTTCACTAAAGCTTTACTAATCAGCTTTTATACACAAGACCTTGTGCCATGGGCTGGAGGTACAACAGAGAGTAGAAACTGCACCCTCTCACAGCTTGTATTTTGGTGGCAATTACGATACTAGAGTTAGGTGCTCTAACAAGAGCAGGAAAGAGAAACAACTTCTAACTCAGACTGAGAGGTCAGCAAACTAGAAGTGATGTCAATGCTGGTACCTGAAGAATGGGAGGCATTAATGAGACATATGTAGTAGTGGAAGTGTGGGGTTGATGGAATGAAGAGTAAATTTGAAGGCCAGAGACTAGAGAGAGAGAGACAAACAGGAAAGATTTATTTGGGGAACTAAAATAAGCATAAGTATGAAGATGGAAGTAAAGAGGGATGATGTGAATGTTTCAGTTTCTTCATCTACTACATAAGGGAGTTGGACCACATTTTTTCTAGATCATGGATTTTGTGATACTATTTTAAATCCCTCATGTATACTAGGTAAAGATTGAGAGGTTGTTAATAAGTTTTTGAGGCCACAGAGATAAGCAGTGACAAAGCTCATTTAGTCTGTCAGTTGAATGCACATAAAAGTCACAAAAAACTGCTTTTGATTAGAAGCAATAATACTGACCTGATTTTTTTTTCACAAAAATTTGAACACTTTTTTATGTAAGAAACTAAACTGACCTTATTGCAAATATGAATTCTTCCCTCCTTCCACTACTTTTTACTGAAGAGTCTTCATTTTTCTCTTTAGATTGAGCCCAGAGTGGACTCAAGTTCTGCAGGGTGTCCAGGCAGTGCCATGATGACTTGCCACTTGTGTCAGAAAAATAAGTTGATTGACATTGTGCAGATTTAATAAGCAAGTGGTTGATTTCCTGGGATTTAGAAAGTTGTCGTTAATGAATAAAACACCAATGTCAGGCTCAGATAACAGAGAGAGTGTGCTGTTGCCTTTACCAAGAAGAATTTGGTATTCCCAAAGTGTTCTTTGAAATGAGCAACCTTACATTAGCAGATAAAATAGTGTCCTATGTTCAGAATAATTTTAAGTTTTATGAAACTTTTATACAAAAACCTGATTAGTGTGTCATCCGCTCAGACTTATGTATGAAACAGGAACATGTTAGCCAAAATATGGAAATTGTTACTTAGATATCCACTCTGCTGGAGATCTAAAAGATAACAAGTTCCTGAGGGTTTCCCAGGAAGGGACATGAGGAAACTGAGACAGGAAAAACCAGAGTTAGGTCTCAGTTGAAGTCTGACATTGTTCTCTGAAGATACCATCCTAATATACAGCTGTTGCCTAAAATGTTGACCAAAAATTGGGAATTATTACATTTTCAGACACTGAATAATTTTTCAGAAATTACACGGAATATCTCCTTTGACCTAAAAGGTATCTTTCACTTGGAAATTCTGGTTATTACACCTCTCACAGGGTGAAAGGTAGATATTTGAGAAAACGAACAAAACTAGAGAGAGTGAAAGGTTAAATTTCTTTAGTATAGAAGTGGGGCAAACTTAGGAAGACATGAATGAAATGAATACAATTATGGGCAACAATTTAGCCTGGGTTTAGAAACTGCTGACCCAATTGCATATGCTGTACCCTTGAAATTTGAGTAAAGGAAGATTAGAACAATTACATTGAACAGAAATACTACTAGGGAGTAATGGACGTTGGAACCTATTTGAAGAGGTCATGGAGATAGTACACAGAAATGGAAAAGTTTCCAGTTCTACTTAAGTATGAGCTGAGAAACATACAATATTTCTGGTTGGCATCATATCATATCTTCTGTCATCATAAGTCTTACGGTCCTCTTGGACACAGGCTGTATGCTCCAGTGAACAATGACCTAATCCTAGTTGGTCATTGTTTTTGTCCCAGTGACCCTATGTTGCTTAGCACATTCATTGACCTGCTCAATCAATATGTCTTGATGATCATTAGGGATTTTAATTATACAGGGTCATGATTTCTTGTTCTTGCTCTATTATCACACTAATGATAAATGCTATCCTTAATTGACCACATGCTATTGTATCATATTCTGTTCTCAGTAGATTTTATAGAACGAGTTTAATTTGGATATAAACCCTGTGGTTACTATCATATGCTATGATACTTTTCATATGCCTATTGAAAGATGAGTAATCTAAGAAACAAATACATTAATTAACTTTCTCAGTGTCTCACAGTAACTTAATGATGTGGCCAGGATTTAAACTTCAGCAGTCTGACTCCAGAGCTTGTACTTAACCAGTCTATTTCTACCGCTACTATGGACAAAATTGGAAAAGTGGCTCAGAAATATTTAGCAATATCCACTCACTTGCTAGCCCAGTGACTCTGACCATTTTTGTCTTTGGAGCCAAATTAGATGTGTTCTATTCTATATTGCATTATCCTGTTAGGAAAAGAGAAGTGGAAAGATGACTGAATGGAAAAGAATGGAGTCTTTTGATTGAAATCCTGAATGTTTTCCTTTCCTACAGCCTATGTTGACACATTCCATTTGTTTTACCCCAAACTAGGAGTTCCTGTAGGCAAAGCTTCAGAGAGAGTACATTTGGTTTATAGCTGCTTCTTCCTGTATAGATAGGTGGCCAAATATATAAGCAAAGGGCCGACCTGGAGTGGAACCACTTTGGAATTGTTTGCTCAGAAAATATACTACTAAAGAGTCCCACAGAAAGGGAGTGGGGGAAATGAGGTGCCAAGCAGAGCTCTCATAGCTTTCCATTGAGCAGTGACCTGGGTAGTTTACTAAGAGATGTCTGCTGTATTTCTATTTTCTAAGCAGGACCCCAAGTCAATATCTTGCCTATCAAGCAAAGGCAACCAGTAAGATGACAGGCATTTATAGAATTAACACAGAAGCAGGCTATGTTCCTCCTGCCCACTCTCACAGGCACTCTTTTGGCAAAAGCAGACAGACAGACAGACACACACACACACACACACACGCACGCACACACATAGTTTTTTCTCAATTTACCAAGAAAACTGCCAAGAGCAAGCAACTTGTGTATCAATCTGATTTTTTCATTCCTGGTCAATTATAAGAAATGTGGCTATTTCTTCCCTGTAATTTAATAACTTGACATTTTTCTCTTTTTCTCTTTCTCTCTCTCTTTTTTGTAATCACAGCAGAATCTAAGAAGAAGAAAAAGGAAGGCAAGAAACAGGAGAAGATGCTGGATTAAAAGATGTCACCTGTGGAATATAAAAAGGACATCAGCAAACAGGATCAGTTAACTATTGCATTTATATGTACCGTAGGCTTTTTATTCAAAAATTATCTATAGCTAAGTACACAATAAGCAAAAACAAAAAGAAAAGAAAATTTTTGTAGTAGTGTTTTTTAAATGTATACTATAGTACCACTAGGGGCTTATAATAAAGGACTGTAATCTTATTTAGGAAGTTGACTTATAGTACATGATAAATGATAGACAATTGAGGTAAGTTTTTTGAAGTTATGTGACATTTTACATTAAAATTTTTTTTTACAGTTTTTGGGCAACAATTTAAATGTTATGACTATGTAAACTACTTCTCTTGTTAGGTAATTTTTTTCACCTAGACTTTTTTCCCAATTGAGAAAAATATATACTAAACAAAATAGCAATAAAACATAATCACTCTATTTGAAGAAACTATCTTGTTTTCTGCCAATAGATTTTTTAAAATGTAGTCAGCACAATGGGGGTGGGGAAGCAGAGCATGCCCTAGTTCAATGTCAACTTTTTTTTTTTTTAAAGAAAAGCATTAAAACATAAAATTCTTTCACTTTGGCAGAAGAATTTGTTTTCTTGATGAAATTATTTTTCCATCTGAGGAAAAAAATACTAGGAAAATAAATCAAGGTGATGCTGAAAAAAATTTGCTTTTGTGTTCAATAATGTGATTTTTGTAACCCTACTCCTTTAGTCATTTATACTCCCCCAGTCAACTTATTAGCACAGAGAAATTGTCATACAAACTAGCTAAGTCACTCTTGGGCACAAATGTCACACAGTTTTTTTGTACTTTCTATCAGTAATTAATAGGTTAAATTGGTACTACTGAATTCAACAAAAGTTTCACAATAGTCTAGGGTTTGGTGGAGCAGGAAAACGCTCTTACAGTGGATATATTTGGGTTCGCACCAGTCCAAATCAGGATCACTGTAATGATGTGCAAAATGGTAGTTTGGGCTTAGTTTCCATAAACCAAAAATCTTCACTTTTTTACATGCCATGAGTGCCAAAGGCAATCTGTATAACTTCCTTATCTGTTGGTCTCTAAGCACAATTTTTAAGTAAACAAGTCTGTTCTCCTATTATTCAGGGAATAATAGAAAATTCTCTGGGATTATCTTTAAAGTGTTTCTCTTGACATACTCTTTAATTCTAAAGTGATAAGACTCAATAAACAAACACCAATCTACCAAGATAATTGCTAAGTCCGTTTTGGGGAAATGATGATTTCAGCCTACCCTGGGCTAACTATAAAATACACAATTACATGCTGGTCTAATGATGCAGCCAAAGGGTCTTAGCAGCTAAACTACTTTTGCCATCTAGCCTATGACTCTACCTGAGCTAGGAATGTTGAGCAGATCCATTTCTTCCTTCTACATCAAAGCCACCTGTCAGTGGGGAATAGAAAAAAAGGATGAACTTCCAGGCATTTTATGGACTGGTGCTTAATAAAAAGAGTGCCTTGTAAAGTGCAAATGATAGAAACACGAATAGTAAATGTAGTCCTTTTATAAGCTGACCTTAATTGGAAAAAGTACTCATGGGGACGGATGGAAGAGAAGAAAGAAAGGCAGTGTCTTCAGTGGATTTTTTGACAGCAAACTTCCAAAAGGATGGGAGGATGGAAGAGCCTATTGCAAATTTTGATAACCTCTCAGCTAATGTTGCTCCTCTAACACATTTAGCCAAAAGCAGCAACCCGTGAATCAGTAATGAGTTAAGGTGAACTAGAACTAAATCTCCCAAGGGAAAAACAGTCCTGTAAATAACTGTGGCATACTCCTTTATTCACAGGGCATGGCAGGAAGCCAAAAGTGAAAGATTTCTCTGCTGTGTCAACTACGATACTTAGCAAGCCCTAGAATAGCTTCCTGATTCTCCCCTAAAGCAAAGATTGGTATGCTAAGCTCCCTTATATAGAGTGTGAAATTCAACATCCCTTAAGTCTCAAGAATTATTCTACCCCAGCCTCAGCTTTAAACATCTTGTTAAGTCACACTGAAGTGTTGAAACATAAATGCAAAAGGACAAGCTCTCCACATCTCTGATTCTCACAAATAGGAAAAAATAGACCGTCATCGGGCCCTTCACAGTGTTCTCCAGCAAGCTCTCTGTTCTGGGCTTTATAAACTTCACCCTAAAGTTCATTAAGCCTTGAAGAAGGGAAGGAAAAATGCAAAGAAGTCATCTGTGTTCCTTTACATGGCCTTAGGGGGAAGACAAACTTTCTGTCCAATAATTGAGAGGGTAAAAAGCAACTTTACCAAGATGCAGGCAAAAACAAATCTTCCCTGATGAGAAAGTGTCCTCATTCAGCTCAGAGTTGGTATCTCTCACACTTGTTCTCTGATAGACTTTCTAATTTATTCAGGATATATGAATGCTGTCACATTCTTCTATATATAGGTTGTGAAGAAGAGGATCTTGGATAGACATTTTGACTTCATATATTCCTGGAATGACGTATTAACATCTTCTTAACTTAGTAGAAGTGGAACTCAACCAGAGTTTAAAGCTCTAAATGTTTTTTAAGAGAATTTCTCCTAAATTGGGAAGATGTGGGTATGAAAAAAATTGAATAATTATACTTGACCATGAGAAATCTCATTGAGAAAGAAAAGGCTATAGTTCTTTTCCATTGAGGAGACAGATACTTCTTTAAGAATAAGAGATACAGATCTTTTTTTTTTTCTTCTGTAACATCTATTGGCTCCATAATTCTGAAAGTCTTAAATGAATTATTATATAATTTCCTTAAGTGAATAACAGAGGTAAATAGGCTATAGAAAGCAGTGAAAAAGGAAATAGAAAATACGGCCTTTTGCAAATTGAATTATTTTAAAGTAGTTTCCAAATATAAAAATTAGAACTTTATCTACATTGAGTCGTGGGGTTTTCTAACAGAGTGAAGCAAAGGGACTTTCTTTTCATTAACCTTTCCAAAAATAATAAGGCAGATCAATATCCTTGGATGTAGAATATCAAAGCCTTCAAGCTACTTTTTAAACAGTGATAAGAGTCTTGGAATACATTAATATAAGAAGAAAAGGGCATAATGTTATTCTAAGCATCCAGCAAGGAATGCCTGCTTCAAAATTTGCACTCTATTTTTACCAGAAATAAAATATATGGAGCATTTTTAATCAGAGGAAAACATGTCTTACTCTTAGAAATGCACTTGTCCTCTACTGTTTCTGTTCTTCCCAATCCTTTGTTCTTCTAAGCAGAGAAACAGAAGGAAGTAAAAAAGCTTCATCCTGTTGGGGTCACAGGTAAAATAATGTAATTCATAAGCATTCCAGTACTTATTAGAAAAGCAGACCTACTTTAAAAACTATTATTATTTAAAAAGAAAAATAAAGAATTAGCTCCCAATGTTTAATTTTTGTAAAGCCATATTTTTTTAAAAAAATGAAACCATGACAGGCAGAACATTGATGTATTTCTTACACATGTATCTATTACAATGATTGTATTAAGTTACTCATGGGGTTGGCTAAAGAGGTTTATATGTAGATTATCACTTCATATTTTCTTTTGTTCTTTGAAAATGTGCATGGAAGCCATATTATACCTTATTAGAGAATGAAAACATGAAAAATCTTGATCATCCTATCCCTGAACTCCTGGGATAACTTAGAGAACACATAGAGATTGTATCCACACATTCAACTTGCTTTTAGTGGAGATACAGATGTTACATAAGATAAATAATCACAGAGAATAATTTTTTCCCTTTTTTGATTGTTTGATTGTCAGATCCATCAAACATAGGGCAAAACTTCAATTATCTTTGTTTATGAGATTCTTGGATAATTACATGAATGCATCCCTTACTGTGAATAATCAACAGATTGAAATATTTGCAATGAATGACATGAATTTTAGACTTCTAAATCCTAAAAGTTGCATGCTTTTAAGGTAGTCATTTTTGCCTGATAATCTTTCTGTTCAAAAAAAAAAGTACCACACTATTTTTTAAAGAACATGAATGTAAATTAAACTGCTTTTGAAGACTTATTCCTGTCACCATGAGTATCAGGTTATTATTTTTTGTTATCATGGCAGTTGTAGTTGTAAATATTTTCTTGTGTGTTCCTCATGGATCATAGGATTGAATGAATACTCCACCAGGATGTAACCTTGAACTCAATTTGAGGGAGTAAAAAACTAGCAACAAGACCCTTCAGAACGAATGTATCTTCTTTTAAATTTTGTCTCTTAATGAAGATGGAATAAAGTATATACTACTCTCTGAGCTATTGGATAGTATCACGTGGTGACTTTTATAAAGAAATATACAATTAAATTTCAGGATTAACGGTGAAACCCCGTCTCTACTAAAAATACAAAAAATTAGCCAGGCGCGGTGGCGGGCGCCTGTAGTCCCAGCTACTCAGGAGGCTGAGGCAGGAGAATGGCGTAAACCCAGGAGGCGGAACTTGCAGTGAGCCGAGATCGCGCCCCTGCACTCCAGCCTGGGCGACAGAGCGAGACTCCGTCTCAAAAAAAAGAAAAAAAAAAAAAAATTCAGGATTAAGCAAACATTTTTTTTTCCTGGCCTTTTAGAAAAAATAATCCTTGCTGTCCTTATCCTTGGACTTGTCAGATATATTCAAGCATTATCTATTATTTCTACATCAGCAACCACTGGTATCATGAGCAATCTCTGCCTTTTTCAACCTACATTTTATCTCACTTGTATTTCACATGTTGATTGGATATGAAGGAGCACTACTAAGCATTGATCATTTTGAGAACAAATAGAAATGATTAGTTATCATAATAAAACTTCTCTAATAGAAAAATGTACCATCATTGTTCATAAATTAGCATTTTTGTTTTAATGCCATACCATTGAAAAATGAACATTTTTTTAATATCATGGAGATAGAAGGTCCATATACAACCTACAACATGGAGAAACTTCCCTACGAAAATTATTTTGTAAGCTGGGCGCGGTGGCTCACGCCTGTAATCCCAGCACTTTGGGAGGCCGAGGCGGGTGGGTCATGAGGTCAGGAGATCAAGACCATCCTGGCTAACTCGGTGAAACCCTGTCTCTACTAAAAATACGAAAAATTAGCCCGGCATGGTGGAGGGCGCCTGTAGTCCCAGCTACTCGGGAGACTGAGGCAGGAGAACAGCGTGAACCTGGGAGGCAGAGCTTGCAGTGAGCTGAGATGGTGCCACTGCACTCCAGCCTGGGCGACAGAGCGCGACTGCGTCTCAAAAAAAAGAAGAGAAAATTATTTTGTAATAATACACCCTATTTTGAAAATAAAGCTAGATCCATTATATAAGGCTAGATGCATTATAATATTATAGCATTATAAAGTAAGATAAAGTTAAAAATACTAAAGGGCCTGACTAGTCCTTGTGTTTAATTATTTCAGCGATATACTCAAATATTCAATGAATTACAATTATCTTCATAATGTGATGTTAGGCACTCTGGGAAGAAAACAACTAAAATTTAGAATTCCTAGCTCCCAAACTAATTTATATGTAGATCCTGAATATACAAAGATTTGTTTTTAATTAAAAGAAAAAGTTTGTAATGTAAAATAGTAGAAATATAAAATAATAGAAATGATTAAGATTGGGCAAGACCCATGAATTTCAAAGAAACACTGGGCTGGAGTAATTAGAAAATTCATAAAGAACTCAGGGTTGATATTTCCCTTGAAGGGTGGACTGGATTTGGTGGAGGATAAAAGGGGCATTTTTAAGAGTAAAGATATGAAAAAGGTGCAGTTATACATGTTAGCAGCATACAACATTTATTTAGTATAGCTAAGCTGATTTACTTAAAGTTTAAGGTAGTTTCTTTACAACATTTTCTACCATCATGTAAAATTGAATTTAGCATTGACAGGCAGCATCCCTACAACATTTACACATGCGTACACATAGACACATGCACACACACACACACACGCACGTAATGAAATAATGAAATACAAGTTTCAGAAAATAATATTTCTCAATACTATGTTCTATGTACACTGACATTTTTCTTCTCTTGTATTTCATTTTCTTAAAGTTGGTTACAATCCATTAAATTTAATTTATGATATACATATGGATCAAAACCTATACTTGAGTTGTTTTTTCTACAGACACTTGATACTTAGTCAGACTTTGTCTCCCATGCAAGAATTAGTGTAGATACTGATTTCAGGACATCTTTCCTTTAGGGAAAGAAATATACTGGTGCAACCTCTGCCCATTGGAAGGACTTTTCTTTTCCACTCCTTCACAGAATCATCCCTAATGAGACCAAGTTCTGTGGGCAAGAGCCTAGAGTTTTTCTTTCCTTGTCCATTGGACAGAAGGAATCCCCAAAGGGGCCATTGAAGTGAGAGAGAGGAGAACAGCAGTCCAACACAAATTGATCATTCCTCTTACTAAACCTTTTAAGTCTGCTTGTGACCAGATATAAATATGTTATTTATTTCTTCTAGTGGATGAGTGTTGCTAGATATACACTAAATATAGCCAGAGAGCTCATAATATGCCAAAATCATGCTGGCCAAGTCAGATCACATGGTTATCTGATGTCCTGTGGATAGTAATTCAGTTTCTAGACTTAAAAGCAATCTGGAGATATTCATCAAAAAGAGAATAGTTATTAGAGAGGTGGTGTTAAATGCCTTCCATCTGCCCATACAGGTCCACTCTGCACCATCTACATTCTGCTCCATGTCCCCTGACCCAGGTGAATTTCATCAAGGGCCCCCTTGCCCTCTACTTCCAGTTGGCTCTAGCAAATGAAGAGTATCACAAGGGAACAGAAGAAAGGAGGGAAGAGAGCTTTGGTTCTATAGCTATATCTCTTGATTAAGTTCTTGGTACCTATCAGGAACAGTCTCTCTTCTCCCCTCCCCTCCCCTCCCTCCCCTCCCCTCCCCTCCCCTCCCCTTTCCTCCCCTTCCCTTCCCTTCCCTTCCCTTCCCTTCCCTTCCCTTCCCTTCCCTTCCCTTCTTTTCCCTTCCCCCCCCCTCACCATGATTGTGTTCTCTGGTATCTTCTCTCTCCTTATACTTCTTTGTGCACAGAAGAAGTATATAGCACTCCTGGTTATTAAGAAGCAAATAGCCCTTTGATTAAACTCTTTATTTGAGCATGCCATCTATTACCTGCTAGGACTGTGACGGACATAGGAGTGTGATTTACTTTGAAACTCTAAAATATTCTGCTAATTATATTTTTTGGGGGTCTTTCCGGTAAAAGTGAAGCACCGTGCCTACCAAGGAAAAGAAATCCTTCCTCACGTGGTGTGCTTTTAAGATCAGTAAGTCCACATCAACTCAGAATTAATTGCCCCCTCCTGACCTGATTAGCAGAGTTTCTCCACTTCCTGCTAGGATAAAAGAGCTTATTTTGTTGGAAACTTCAGTTGAACTTCTAGCATTCTAGATTTCAAGCTTTCCAGAATCATTGGATCTGCCAGATCACACAAGACAAGTGGAAAATCTGCTTTTACCAACTGTAGTGCCTGCTTCTGATTTGGGACTCATTCAAATGTGTAGCTTTTCAGATACAGGTAAATAGGGCAATTAAGACTCCAAATACTGCATATGCTCCTTCCAAAATCCAAGGGGGGCTATGAGATAATGTACTTCCTTTCCATTGTTAGGGTTTGTAAAGTCCATAATTTGTTCTTCATTTTGAAGGGAATATCTTCACATATCCCTGCTCATTGTACCCAGGAAAATTTTACTATGGTGACTGGTATTGTGAGTGATAACATGAATTTTGAATGTACAAATGAAACTTTTCCATTTAAAGGAACTGAATTGCAGGAAGATACTTCCTTAACACCCAATCCTACAAACTTTATATTACATCTGAGTATAATATCAGATATACTCCTAGATTTACCTTTTGGTTAGCAGGGGGATGAAGATCCTCATGACAGTTGAGGAAGATTAGATGAGGAAGATGCATAATCATAAATTAGCATACTTCAAATATGCTCTTTGGAAAGGGTAGCCATAAGTATATGAGAAAATACCTACTAGCAAAATATTTAGAATTTGTAAAGAGGTTTCAGTATTCATCTAGGGGAAGAAAACATCAAAGATCTATAACAGAATCATAATGCTTGTCCTGGAGAGCAAATTACTATGACTCTTCACTTTGGGCATTTTACTTTTGCCATTACTAAAAAAAGAAACGTTAAAACCCGCAATTGCTTTTGCACCAACCAAATAAATATGAAGTTCTGTTGACTATTGTGAAGCAGTCTTCATTTGTAACAAGCTTCTTTATTTTTGCAAGATTTAACTCCTGCCATTTGCACATTATCTTACCAGTCCATCTAGAATATTTATTCTTTCCAACTTAAGTCATATCAGCATGTTGCTGTAAATGCTGTAAAACTTTTTAATATCTGGAGGTACATTGAGGAAGCCAATGAATTAGATTGTGACATGGAGTCAAAACACTGGTGTTTTCTGTGTCTAGGGTAAAAGTGAAGTACCATGCCCACCAAGCAAAAGAAATCCTTCCCCATGTGGTGTGCTTTTAAGATTAGCAAGCCCACATCAACTCAGAAATTAATTGCCCCTTCCTGGCCTGATTAGCAGAGTTTCTCCACTTCCAGCTAGCATAAAATAACTTAGTTTGATGGAAACTTCAGTTGAATTTCTAGCATTCTAGATTTCAAGCTTTCCAGACCAAAAGAGAATAACCAATAATGGAAATTCTTTCTGATTCATTTAGAGAATCATCACTCTATTGTCTCATAGCAGAGATGAAGGGAGAGATTCTGAGGTGTACTCAAGAGAAAGAATGGGCAAGATGTGAATAATTGCTCTTACCTAGCATGCCTGAACTCTTTGACTGCCTTCTCTTTATAATAAGGTTAAATCTCTCTGGCCATCCAAGGCATTTTTTTGTTTAGCAATATTTGGGTTTGGTTTTCATTAACTGAATGAGGTAACTTGACTAGAGGAAATTGAATTCAGACTTTCTGGTGAATTCATCCTTATCAAGAAATTATAACATATCCCAAATAATATTCTATCTTCTTAGAAATTTAATTCTCCAAGGTCTACTTGAACAAATACAATTCTATATTAATTGTATAGACTATGGTGATTAATTCATGAAAAATCTCTTTGGGTATATTTCCTTTTCCAAATTCTGATTATGCATTTCACCCCATAGACTACTATTACTAGTTTAAATTCATTAACTAATCCATGCTTTCCTTTAGTTAACATGTTTATTAAATGCTTAACACTTCATAGGT